TTCATTCTCTCTTTGCAGTATGCCTCTAGTGTGGCATACTGCAAAGAGAGAATGAAACTTTATTGGTTCTGTCTGTTCAGATTCCTCTAATATTTAAATATTTTATGTCATTTTGGAGTATATGTACTTTTTCTTCTACTATCTCTTAGTTTTCTTTCTTTGCAAAAAATCAAATATTTGTCATTCTAACTATATTCATTTTAGGGGTAAAGCTTGAAACATAGTAATAATACCCTAAAACTAAACTTAAGAAAATAAATGTTATATAACACTTGTAAAGTTTCGTTACTGGTTCTCTTTTTGTTAAAACTTACCTCATCTGCAGCATTGTGTTACTAGCAACACAAAACAGACTAAAGTAACTGGCCTCTCATAGCACACTGCAGTTTTCTTTGTAGGCATGATCAAAGTCATAAATAAGTTCCCATGAATGCAGTTTGGTCAATGTGTCAATCCCCAAGGCTAGATATCCAGCTTCCTATAGGTAGGAAGGAGCCATACGTATACATTCACCATAGCATCTTTAAATCCTATTTCAGGATTGACCAATAAACTTTCAAAGATATTTTAAATAAATGAATGAACGACTACAAACATATTCATAAAAACTCCTTTCAACCAAGCCTCATCCTCAAAACTGCTGCCAAGTTAATTTTGTGCCCATTGCTTATATTCTGTAAACAATTATAACTCAAGTGTCTGAATAAAATCACATGACTTTCTCTGCTTCCTTCCCCTGATGCTAATTCGTTAGGAAATGCAGTCTTTGGGTATGCCAGGCCCCTCCAGGCCCTCACAATTTAGTCAACTGTAATATCACCCACCTAATATCTTAACTTCCTTATGTTCAACAATGATGTCTTAATTATTTCCTTCCTGTAGGCCTGTTCTCTGACAGTATCCAGCAATCCGTATCAGACACACACACTTGGCACATACTTAGCTTAAGCTGTAACTAGATGATAGCTTCAGTGCACATTGAGGGCATTCTGCCTCCTGCCTGCCAGTCTTACATCTTTCTGCCTCAGCATTTTCTCTGATCTGTGTTCTGCTACTTAGCTACCACCCCCCAAAAGTTCCTTGGGGCTAATGCTCTCAGGGGCAATCTTCAGCCACTGGGCAGCCCTCCTGCTCACCCTTTGATTAAACCAATTGGAAGTGCTTACTATTCACTTCCTTAGTGGGCTGCCAGCAGTATAGGCCCTGAGTGGGCCAGAGCAGTGACCTTTATGGATTTCTCTCCTGTTGTTGTTTCACTGTAGTTTCTAGCCGCTTGCTGGGATCACTTCCAAGTAATCTACCTGCAACTTAAGTCTCTATCTCAAGATTTGGTTCAGAGAAAGCCAGAGATGGATGACCTCTAATTAACAATGAATATATTTCTGTCCTTATCTTCAACTCTAATCTTTTGCAAGATTGGACCTTGTAACACCTGTTTCAATAAAATTTTCTCACCTTGTTTTTTTTTTTTTTTAAACAATGTGTTCCTGTATTGTTCCTACAAATGTTGCTTTCTTGTTTTCCCTTTAAACTATGGAACTCTTTCCTCTGTTCTTAGATCTCATCCGTTCAGTTCCTTGAACTCATCCTTTAAGATATCCATTCACATGTGCTTAACAGTTAGCCATTTGTACATTGATGGCTATCAAGTCTACCTCTACAGTTCATGTTTGTCTAGTTACAGACACATATTTTCACTTCTCCATTTAGATGTCCTCAAAAGCATTGCTTTTAGTACCCATGTACCTATAACTATTTATGACATTTCCTTACTCCAAATATGCACTTCTCTTTCAAAATGTTTTCTGGAACATTTCTGGTAATGTGAAGCCGGAATTAGATAGGCAATCCATGTAGATAGGTAAATCAAGTCAGGTCAGATCAAAGAGGCCAATTTGAGTGAGTCTGGGAAGTTGGAGATTGTCCCCTGATGGACTGAAATGCCCTCAGAGCCCTTCCTCCACCCTATCAAGGTAACCTCCCCTGATCAAACCTGTTGCCAAGGAAACCTGTTCCAAGGATTGGCCCTCTCTATAGGGAGCTATAAGGTTGTTAATTAGTGTGTCTTGGGCTGCTCCATCCTGCCCATCCCCCTTCAGCCCACCTGTTTTCCACATTTTGGCCATCCCACAGAGCATTTCCTGGATCTAGTCACATATGCAGGAAGGAGAGAGATAAGAGGAAGAGAGCTGGAGAATAAAGGAGGCCTAGGACATATTTAAAAAACAGAAGAATGCCTTCCTTCTTGTGATACCAGGAAAACAGCTATGGCCCCCTTCTCCCTCCTGGGAGAAATCTATGCTACCCCTTTTTAAATAAACCCTGCTTTATATGCTTTCATTGGTGTGCTTCTCTCATGTTATACTTCAACATTTGAGGAAATAGAACTCATAACAAATAACCACCAGTATCAATGGCTTCTGGTCATCCACACTCTTAGCAATTTTTACCACTCTTATTTCTCTATACATGATTTCCTATTAAAAAAAAAGGCTCTTCAAATTGCATATGCATTCTCTCTCTCACTCTCTCTCTCTCCACCCCCCACACACATACACACACACACACACACATGCACACACACACACACATGCACACACACACGTGCACACACACACACACTATTTCATTTATCCACATATATCCATATCCATATATATCCATCCCATTCCATATCCTTATATACCATGTTTCTATGTCATATGTTCTGCATATGGAATAGCTGTGTGTTTGACTTTTTAACATACTTATTGTGTCTCACCTTGCTTAATGCCTTCCTCCTTTCACACCTAGAACATTACAATAATCAACTAGTCACACAGTTGAAGGCTTCCAAGTCACTTTCATCAGAAGTGACTTTCTAAGTCAAAGGTCAAATGTTTTCTCTCATATGTGGAAGTCAGACAAAAAAAATGGGGGAGGGGATGGGGAGTGGGTGGGGAGGTCTCATGAAAATAGAAGGGAGAAAAGTGAAGCAGAGAAAGGGGACTGAGGGAGAGGGTAGATGGACAGAAAAAGAGAGAGACAGTAGAATGAAATTGACCAAACTGTGTTATCAACATACATGAATATAAGAGAGTGAATTTCACCTTTATTTACAGCTATGATGCAATAAGTTTTAAAAATAAATTAATAGATGGAAGACAAGTAGAGTACAGGAAGGGGGAGGGAGTAAGAGGAAAGGGGAAGTATTGGGGACTGAAGTAGAGCAAATTAGATCACATGGTTTATATGATCATATCAAAATAAACCCTAATATTATGTATAACTATGCTACACCAATAAAACTTGTTCCAAAAAGTATTTATCCAAAATGAAAATGTAATTATCAAAAACTCATGTTTAAAATCATAGCATTATGTATTAGCATTTTTTCATGTATTATATTAAATTCCTTATCTGGGAATCAAGAATCTAGGGAAATGGCTTAGGCAGCAACTTATTTTTTTCTTTGTAAATGTGGCTATTTGAGAAGGGTTAGATCAAGTGTGATACCTGAGAGACAAGCAAGCATAGGCACTTACAATCTCAGGTAGAAAGACAACTCCTAAAGGCAAATTGTTGCTCCTAACTGAGCTATTTTTATCACGCTTAGAAGTGGGCCTTGTAAAGATCCCAAATAAATTCTGAAGATTAAAAAAAATAAAAATTATACCAAAAGAGTTTTTCATGTTCCTGGATAAATTAGCATGTGATATTTACAATCTACTCTTTAGTATTACACAATTTTTCAAAAGCAGATTATTCTACTATATAATGCCAAATCAGTAAAGAATCAGGACTCTGACTTTTCTTGCTTCCTCTGTACTATAAACAGATGTGTTTAAAATACTCTCAGTCTTTTTATTCAGCCTTTTTCTGATCACTACCCAAGGAAAGTAGTTAAAATAGGCCATTGACAGAATGATAATACTTATTTTCTCAACAATGATCTTTGGTAGGTGATAAAATGCTACTTCCCTTGTAAAGGAAAAGGGCAGCTGCCTACAAAACAACAGTGATCTTCTAAGGTGTGAGCAAAAGAAAATGTATTGTGCAATAAATCTACGAAGGAAGGAGTTATTTTAGGACTCCTAGATGACGTCAAATGTGGTCTTTTGAAGGTCAGCAATTTCGTGATCTATGTTATTAGAAATTGCAAGGAGTACTGCAATGTCTTGATCTGAAATTTTTATGTAAATTACTTTGTTGGTCTTTATGACTAAAATTAAAACACTAGCATAAGGCTGTATTATTGTTCTTCATCTTCAATAGGTCTAGAATTGACTATAGGACACAACTGAGAAAATCTGAAGAGAATAGATAACTGTATTTAAAAGATTTTCCCACTGACTATAGAATAAAATTCAGATGTTCACAACCAGCAACTCCCTCATTTCCTGGTTTTTCTACAGCCCTCTCAACATACCACCTGGCCCAGGATGCTAAACACAGGATGGTACACAGTGAAGTCCACAACATTTACAACATTACAGGGCCACCTCTACAAGGGTGTGCTACCACATTAATGTGTCATCATAACACACTTTGTGATGGTAAATTTCTATTCAATCTTCAAGGTGCAAAATACACAACTCCTTTTGTGAACTTTTCACAGTGACTCTCCAGGCAATGTAAAACTTTACATATATCTAACTTTTATATAGTCATTACTGTATATTTCACATATGATTCAGTATTCAAAAAATTTTCTGTTTATCCTGGGATAAGCCACACAATTTTGAAAGTGACTTTGAAGCTTTTGTCTCCTCTGAACCACCCTTATCCTGACTGCCCTTTGAAGACTCCTTTCCATTTTTTTGAGTAGATCTTTCTGCTTCTTGATCCTCACTTATCTTAAATTTCACTCATCCTCAAGGGATTCAGCTTAAAACTCAACCAGATGTTTTGAACAACTAATAATAATAATTAAAAAAAAAACTCAATCAGATAAGAAGTTTCACTTGATCACTAGACTAGTGAACTTAATTTACTTCCAAATTCTCAAGGATCCCTTTTGTCTCTATTATAGCATTCTTCACCTGTAATTGCTTGTGTGAGTTTTGAAGCTGCATGTAGACAGAGGTGATCTCACTCTCATTCACTGATGATTCCCAATAGTTGCTATGTTTCCTAGTATATAAATAAGTAAACAATAATAAATAAGTAAACAATACACTAATTCATTACACTGCAAATGCTTTCAATCAATCACTTGACTTTCATTTTTCCATGATCTCACTCAATCAACCACTTAACATTTATGGAAAATCTAAATACCTGGCACCATTATAATCTCCAGAGATGCACAAGAGCATGCGACACAGCTCTGTGACTAAAGAAACACAGCCTAGGTGGGTAAGGGAGTAAAAAAGCATGCTGATTAGTTAGAACGACTTGTTCAAGGATAGTATCTTTATATATTTCTGACCAATGTACATCATTTATTCCCACAAGCCACAGTAATTGCTTCAGTAATGTCCATGTGATACCAAATGGATTTATCAGAGTAAATTTCAGAGCAATATAAGAGCTACCTAGGGGTGGGGGAAGGTACTTTCTCTTTGTGCTGTTTGATTGCCTAGTATTGCAGGTATCCCTATCACCACCTTTTGAGTCTAGAATATGAAACAAATGGGACCTGGGGAATCTAAAAGCCTAAGTAAGAATATCATTTAAGCTCCCCAATACTAATGCATTTGGTTGATTCCCAAACATTTGAAGTATATGAGCAATGCATTTCTTCTTTTGTTTTCTGATGATATCTTCATTGCATAACACTGCTTTGAGTTGAATTGGTCTTGCTGTCACATGGAATGGAATGACAGAGGAGGTGTCATTTTAACAGTCTTTGAAAGTTAAAGAGGAAAGTAATAATTAGTAATAACAGCACATGTTTTTATTTTTGCAACAGCACTGTTTTGCTCTTTTAAGTGATTTGCATATATTAATAAATTGTATGTGGAAAAGTCATTTAAGGTACAATAACTGAGCATCTTCAATGGGGTGTCTGCTGTGTGGTGAGGGGAGATGGGGAGCAAAAGATATCATAGGAATGATGTACATCAATGCAGACAGATTGCAAAGAATTCCTTATGCCCTGCTAAACTGTAAATCATATTCCATATCTATTCACTGAAAACATAAAAATGTAGTCAATACAAAGCCAGAATTTGTCATAACTTCTAATATTTTAAAAGAACTTCTTAAAATATTAAACTGAATGACATCTCAGTTTCATTTTATTAAACTTCCCAAATGGTTGTAATAGCAGGATTCTAAAGAGGTTAACAGACTTTTTGTACATACTTAAGTATAATCTTAAATGAAATATAATTCCGGACCACAAATTTGTAACTCCTTTCACAATACCCCAGATACCAATCAGTTTTCTTAGCTTCCATGAACACAAGAGCATGGAGTCAAAATCTATAGACTTAGCAGTAAATAACACTGGTCCTATCCTCAGTTTTATGACCTAATAACTATGTGATCCTCAGAAAGAGCCTTAAATTTATAAGGTATATTTTTCTCATCTATAACATGGGAATTCTATATTTTTCTTTTTCATCAGGTTATGTTGAAAATTAAATGGGAGAATGTTTAGCACAAAGTTTAGTCCTTACTAAGGACAGCACAAATATTTAAGAATAATAATTAAAAATAACTACTGTAATAAAAAATATCCCCTTTCTTGTTTGTCCAATTAATATAATTTCTTTCAGAAATGAAGCAACTTATTCCTAGAATGTGGTCATGTTGCCTTTATTAGAGTTTGTTAAAGAGTTGGAGTAAAAGGATAAATATGAGAGATAAAAAATTGGATTAGATAATGTGTTTTTCCCTAAATAGAGACAAAGGTGAAATTGAAATTCATTGTATAAAGCTTATATGAGAGTTTGAGATATCAGATCATGATAAATTATGAATTAGCAGTTGCTATCTGCAAGAATCCAGATATAAGTGCTATGAAGACAGGTTTGTTTATTTATTCTGAAAAAAAACAACTCCATAGGGCATTTTTAAAAAAAAATCTTTTAGTTGTTGAGGGACCTTTATCTTATTTGCTTATTTATATGTGGTGCTAGGAATTGAACCCAGTGCCTCACACATGTAAGGCAAGTGCTCTACTGCTGAGCTACAACTCCAGCCCTCAGTAGGGTCATTTTATTCCTTCAGTTTCACTTTGACTCTCAGGCCTCTTCCTTAGAGGCTTGCTTGAAGCAAAGATTTAGAGACACATGGAACAATTTCTAAAACCAGGTGAGGGAGAAACAAATTGGTTAGCACTATGTTGATATGAGCCAACCCAGTGGCAGTCCAAAAACTTACCATATAGAACAAATAAAAGACTGCAGACATTTAAGGCAAAGAGTAACAGCTGATGTGCACTTGCACTGTTGATTGTTCATTGGGTCTTAGGGCAAAAGTGAGTTTCCAGATAGAGAAGTTACCTTTGAACTGTGAACTTTGCTCCAGTAAAGGAATGAGAAGCAAGGGACTTTGTAAGGATGGTCATCAGGTTGCTTCACTTCAGTTTGGGTTATCCAGTGCTTGTGTCTTGTGTGATGAAGACCTGGTTACAAACAAAAGTAAGGGAATGGAGTTTTTAAAATATATGCAAATGTTGTTTGGAGAAGAGAGAAATGCTATAATTAGGCTATTCTGCAAATATAGGAGAAAATGATAATGAATCTTCAGGAAATCTTGAGGATGAGATATTGGGCTCCTTATACAAAGACAAAGATTGGATCTCCATCTGTATCTAACAGAAGAAAATGTAGGCCCTAATCTCCATCATGTGGGCCCCAACTTGCTTAATAAGACTCCTGTGAAGCAAGAATTAAAATCAAGAATCAATAAATGGGATGGACGCAAACTAAAAAGTTTCTTCTCAACAAAAGAAACAATCTGTGAGGTGAATAGAGAGCCTGCATCTTGGGAGCAAATCTTTACCCCTCACACATCAGATAGAGCACTACTCTCTAGGGTATATAAAGAACTCAAAAAGCTAACCACCAAAAATCAAATAACCCAATCAATAAATAGGTCAAGGACCTGAACAGATACTTCTCAAAAGAGGATATACAATCAATCAACAAATATATAAAAAATGTTCATCATCACTAGCAATTAGAGAAATGCAAATCAAAATCACTCTAAGATTTCATCTCACTCCCCTCAGAATGGCGACTATTATGCATACAAACAACAGTAAGTGTTGGCGAGGATGTGTGGGGGAAAGGTACACTCATACACTGCTGGTGGGACTGCAAATTGGTGCAGCCAATATGGAAAGCAGTAGGGAGATTTCTTGGAAAATTGAAAATGGAACCACCATTTGACCCAGCTGTCTCCTCGGTCTATACCCAAGGGACTTAAAAACAGCATACTACAGGGACACAGCCACATCAATGTTTATAGAAGCACAATTCACAATAGCTAAACCGTGGAACCAACCTAGATGTCCCTCAGTGAATGAAAGGATAAAAAAAGTGTGGCATATATACACAATGGAATTTTACTCAGCAATAAAAAGGAATAAAATCATGGCATTTTCAGGTAAATGGATGGAGTTAGAGAAGATAATGCTAAGTTAGCCAATCCCAAAAAACCAAATGCCGAATGTTTTCTTTGATATAAGGAGGCTGATTCATAGTGGGATAGGGAGCGGGAGCATGGGAAATAGACGAACTCTAGATATGGCAGAGGAGTGGGAGGGGAAGAGAGGGGGCATGGGGTTATTAATGATGGTTGAATGCAATGATCATTATTATCCAAAGTACATGTATGAAGACACAAATTGGTGTGAATATACTTTGTATACAACAAGAGATAGGAAAAATTCTGCTCTATATGTGTAGTAAGAATTGTAATGCATTCTGCTGTTATATATAAATTTTTTAAAAAGTTAAAAAAAAAAAGATTGGGTCTCCAACACTCTTATAGGTGATTATGACCCCAGATACATTTATAAACAGCAGAATGAGAAAAAGAGAAATGTAGAGGATAAAGAATGGAGACGTGATGGAAATGACTCAGAGACATCATAAAATGATGCATTTACTCAAAACATATTTTTGTGGAGCCACTATGTGGATATTTCCTGTGTTAGGTACTAGTGGTAGAGAGCCAGTTAAAACTCTTACCTTTGAGGAATTCAAACTCTAGATGTTAAAGACCAAATAAATAAACAAATCCCAAGACAACAGATAAGTAGAATACAAAATTGTATGGGACCAAGATGTAAGTATGGGACACATTGACATGAAACAAAGAATAAAGTTACCGGAAATCTAAGTTACTGAGAAAATGTAAAATAAAATGTTATCGTTTATGGATATAGACTGCAAGATTGTGGTTTTCAATAGATATTATAACAGGTCTTGTTTTGTTTCCATTTTATGAAAAGATGCAAACTCAGTAATAGATCAAAGTCAAAACTTCTTTTAATTACAGTTTATTTTTAAATGCAAGCCTGAAATGCATCCAAATATCCTTTAATTATCGGATTTTCCAATGATGCCTTATTGTAGCATTCCGGCTTACATTACATCAGATAACATCTGTCACAAGGAAGAGCCAGAGATGATGTGTTATTTTTAAGACTGCATATTAGCAAGGAAAAGTAACTTTGCTACTATCACTAACCTCTTAGTAATTTGTGGATCAAGAAATGAGGTATATTTCGATATCTGTAACAGACGTAACACCACACCTGCATTGCAAGAAAATGTCATTTAAATCTCTTTAAAAATTTGGATGTCCATAGCTATTTATACTTTGGGGTCACACAGAAAGGGGGATGGTAACCAAAGGGAAAGAGGCAATAATAATGAAAATAATAACTTGGGTTATTATTTTCATTTAGTAAGACTGTATAAAAATGTTATACATTTTTGAAAATAATATGAAAATAATAATTATGAAAATAATAACCCAAGTTTTAAGTTTTCAATTCTGTAAATGTGATCAATATTCAAATAGTATTTCAAAGTTATCATGAGTGGCATGTTTGTCATTCAATTTAAGTTTTTATATGTGTTCCACATATGGAATGATGTGACAAAATGAGTTGAAGAACCTTAAAAAAATTATACATATAAAACCACAGCTTTTCCAATCATTAATTAACAGAGTTAATCTGGACGTATTGTGGAGCATTCTAGATGCTTTTACTTAAGGACATTTTAATAGGTTAATGTTGCATTAAAAAAAAAAAGAATTATGTGTTAGTAGTGAATCCTTTTTACCACAAAGGAATTAACAGATTCCATTGAAAAATCCTGTCCAAAATCTGTTTGTTTTGGGCTAACAGTTCTATCTCATGATAATGTAAGTAAGCCCATGTGCATTGTAGGAAGAATGAGCCTTAAAAGCTCTCTTCAAAATGACAGACTCTCTAGGTTTCATTTTTCTCATTTGCATAGTAAAGACAACTATGTCTGTCTTATTGGGATTCAGTGGGATTCATTCCTTCGCTCAACTAATACCTACTGAATGTCCTTAACATGATAGGCATCAACTAGTAACAAACGAGACACACATGCTGCTACTACTATACAAAGCCTCCCACTGAAAGGGGATTTTATTAGTTATTAAGTGTACGAGAAAACATTTAACATAGAACTTTGCACATAATAATAAATCTCCATCATTTCTAGCATTATCATTGCATCTCAAAGAAGTAACAGAGCATGCTGTTGTAAAATAAAAGAAAAAGAAGGATCAGGGTCAACTTGGTTGCATACTTATATACTTACACACAAACACATCACACACTCACAAATACACGTATATACACACAGTAAGATGTCCAAAGATATCAACATGCCAATGATTTTGTGATATCCACTGCAATTCTTCATTTTAAAAATCTGAGATCCAATATAGTTTCTCTTAATACAGAGGCTTAGGATTCAAACTAATTTAATAAAGATTTTAAATGAAGTTAGAATAGTCAGTGACTCATAGGTCAGAAGTGGGTGGCAGGTGACAGAGGGGAAGGCCTCAGGCAGAAAAGAGATGCTCAGTATCATTCTCCCATTTAGAATGCTCTGAGGTATTATTTCTTCTGTTATTTTAACCTATGGTTGATATATAAGTCACAGTTTCCCACACTTCTATATGTAAAAATAATGTTTAGAGAATTTCTGAAAAGAAAACTTGGTCAACCAATCCCAAAGCCAACAAAAACCAAAGGATAGGTAACATTTTTATACAGTCTTACATTTATTCTTAAAGATTCTGGATTTCTCCCTTCCTTTCCTTCTGCCTGTATAAACCATCTGTAACTGAACATACTGCTTCTTGCTTTATGAAGAACATAACTATAAATTATGTTTATAATTTAACTTAATGCCCAAAATTCTGTGTAATAAGGAACACAGGCATTTTATCTAAATTTTAAGTTGCTTATTGATCATCTTTCGTAATTTGGAATTACACAGAGTAAACAAGAAATGTACTTTTAAATCTATACTATATTAAATCAAATATTTTCATAGTTTTGCTTTGCTTCTTTCAGAATTATACACATTAATATTTAATATCTAGGCAAGAATTTCCTGGGGCTATGATTTCTGTATAGAAATGCTAGGTTGTCTTCACACCTTTAACTCTTGTAAATCAATAAAATATATTTAAAACTTACAAATTATTCATCCAAGAATACACCTAACCCTAATAAACTGCTTGAAAGTCTTCAGAGGTTGGGTATTTACTATTACTGCTACTACAAAGAGAGTAAATCTTCTTGATTAACCTAAATATCTTGAACAAAATATCACAGCATAAAATCATAACTATGTAAGTCTGAAATGTTATGTTAGGCCAATTAACATGAAACTATATACAAACATAGGTATGGTAATGAAACAATTCTGTCACTCAAAAAAGGAAAGGGATGAAGAATTGAATGGGTGGCTAATATTTTTATATCTTTTATAACAATCATAATACATCTTTTCCACATAAAATCTTTGAGGTTAAACTCTTAGAATACTAAATTTATTGTGGCAATTTGTTTACATGGACATGAATTTATAAATACTTTAAAATAAAATGTCAATCTCAATGTGGATGTA